CTTAATATTATAAGTGTATGCTCTTCAAGTAGGTTTGGATATATATTCAAAAGAAAAATTTTAGAATGACTTTGAAGAATTAATACAAACAATACACTTTGAAGAAATAATATTATTAGAGGAGATTTAAATAGACATGTTGGTAGAATGTTAGAATATTTCAGAAATATTCATGGTAACTATGATTTTGGAGTGATTACTAAAGAAAGTAGTCACACTAAATTCTGTTTTAGCTTATGATTTTGTCATTGCTAATATTTTATTTAAGAAAAGATATAAACATATGATCACTCATAAAAATGGATCTAATAAAATACAAATTGAGTATTCTTTATGAGAAAAATAGATCATCGAAATTATAGCTTGTAAGGTCATTCCAAGTAAAAATTTAAGTGTCCAACATTGATTATTGGTTCTGGATTTTAAGATGAAGGATTGAAATAGTTAATATTCAATGAAATGTTATCAAAGAATTATATGGAAATACTAAAAAGACATAAATAAAATTAATTTTATGAGTAAACTTCATGATCATAATATTTGAGCTTTTAATGAAGAAACTATTATTATGTTGAATAAAGTAACTAGTATTATTAAACAAGTTGCACAAGATATGCTTGGAAAATCAAAAGGAAAATATCTTATGAATAAAAATAGGTGGTGGAATAATAATATACAAGAAAATATAAAAAATAAAATATTTTTTTATAAAAATTAGTTTAAATTTAATAGCTTAGGGAATTGGGAAAGATATAAGGTAGCTCGACGGGATAAAGAGAACAATTTATGATGCTAGAAATTTTATTTTAATGACCTTTATAATAAATTAGAACTTAAACGAGATGAGAGACATGTATAAAATAGCCAAGCAAAATAGCAAGAAAAATAAAAATTTATTTATTAAGGACAAAAAATTTTAAAAAAAATATTTCTTGGATGAGAATATTCAACATAAATGCGTGGGATATTTTGATAAATTTTCGATAATGATTGTGAAAATACGATCAATTTTAGTGATCTTAATATCATAAATAATAACAATTTTTTTTATTTTCACTTGGCATTAGTAAAAACAGGACCTGATGGCTCGGAATTTTTTCGCTTACTAAAATTTTTAACATTTTTTTAGAAAAGCAAAAGATGTCGATGAGTGAAGAAAGGGTCTATTGATTCTTATTTCTAAGAATAAAAGGGATGTACAAGTGCGTGAAAATTATCGAAGAATTAAGCTAATGTGTTATACAATAAAGTTATGAGAGAGAGTAATTGAACATAGGTTATGACATAATAGGAAAATATCTCAAAATTAGTTTGAATTCATGTCGGGGAAGTCTACTATGGAAGCTATACATTTATTGAGAGGTTTGATGGAGAAGTTTAGAAAGAGTAAGAAAGATCTACATATGATTTTTGGTCATTTAGAAAAAACTTATGATAAGATTCCAGGAGAAGTACTTTGGAGAGTTCTATAAAAGAAAGAAGTAATTGTAGCTTGGTGCATGTTTTTCACCTTTTCACTAATGATACATTTATTGTGGATAAGAATAGAGAGAGTTAAAACAAAAAATGAATTACAGAGGTCAACTTCAGAGTTTAGAGGCTTTCGTTTGAGTAGATCTAAAACTTAATATGGAATATAACTTTAATATTAGTAGATCTAGTGGTTAGGTTATAATAATGGGTGAACAAGTCATTAAAAGAGTGAAGATTTTAGATATCTCGGGTATATTGCTCAAAATGATGGTGATCTAGATGGGCATGTTACTAGTAGAATTCAAGTTGGATGTTTCAAGTGGAGGAATGCATCAGGCCTATCATGTGATAAAAAAGTATCACTTCGACTTATAGGAAAATTTTATAAGAACGTGGTGAGACATGCAAAGTTGAAACCTGCAAAATTTTATAATACAAAATGTTGGTTTGTAAAAGAGAAGCATAAAATTAAGTTAAGTATTGTTGTGATAAGAAGACTCAAGTCGATGACAAAATGCGAAACGAATATATCCGTGAAAGAGTTGGCGTAGCTCCAATGGCATGACAGATTAGAAAGAGTTGTCTTAGATTGTTTGGTCAAATTAAACATCGACCATTTGATGACCCTATTAGGAAAGGTACAAATGGTAATTTTTTTAAGCGAAAGAAAGCTAAAAAATGGCGGCATACACGTCTTTTATGGTGTTATCCATGACTTTTAGTTAAAACCTATTATTATGATCATCATTATTATCATTATCATTATCATAATTATTACATAGACACAAACACATTTAAATTCTGATACCTTGGAATCATTGGGCTTATGTGAAAATTATTTAAGAACTGGATCACATGAGTCATCAAAATTGAATATGTGTAACCATTAACTCTTATTAAGCAAATCAGTAAATCAGTAAATTATTGCATAAGACCATATGAATATGTAATTACTATATCAACTGTTCATAGGACTAGGAACCTTACAATCTCCAAACACTAATACCCCTAAGAAACCATCTTATTACCTAACTATCATATCAATACCGTCATATCAAACATTTCATTTTAAGGGTCTTATCTGATAAGGTAATATGCATGGCATATGATTCAATATAGATATTCCACAACAAGATAACACATTAAACTAGATAATATAGTTACAATTTGATGGGTCAGAGTATAATTATTAGTCCTATAATCCCCACCAGATGAAATAACCCAAGTATTATAGCTTATCAAGTTACCATATACCTAAAGTCTGGGTAAAGGTAAATATGCGAACAACTTAAGTGCACCTACTTGGCAAGAGAAGCTGAAGCTTGAGGTATTTTAAATATATTAGAATAAAATTTTTCTTTATAATAAATTCACCACATGACCAACACTTAAAAGGTTAAAATTCACGCAAATCATTTGCTTTAGACCTATTTCACTTCAAAACAAACAACTCGTTATGTGGATTTTAATATCTCATATGATTGCCCTTACTTTTTATAAATAAAAAGTTAAATTTTCACTAAAAATGATAAAATTCAATTTGTAAGTAAAATCATGCTGCTGATGAAATTCAAGTCTAATTTTGTACATGAAAAACATACAAGATGATAGAATTAAAAACAAAATGGAAGAAAACTGAAAATAATCATTTAAAAAGAAAAAATGTTCATCCATGTGCATGTGCATATGGGCTCATGCATGTGTGTGCAAGCTTAAGACTAGAATCAGTATTCTCTTTCTAAGAGGATAAAACTTCATAGTTTTAATGCATGTGCTGCATCTTAGAGTCGATGAATAAGTGCATAAAAGGATGTGGATGATGTTTAAAGTGAGATATTCAAAATTTTCATTGCAATTGTTAATATGCAATTTCACATATTGATATTCTGGACACATGGCCAAGCAAGCTTCACAAAATAGTTAATTGTTGTCAGGCAATTTCATCAAGAGTTTATATTGCGCGTGCATGCCACACACACAATGTGCTCAAGGACTATCAAATGATGAATGTAGATGTTTCTGAACCAATTCAACAATCTATAGCAAATTCTACCAGAAAGTTACGTACACCATTACTATAGAAGCAAATTTTACAACAATTTAACTTTATTTGATATTTTTAAGTTTTATGGTAGCTTTATTTGTACTTTTTTGAGTATTGGTAGTTTTCTTATGCAGTTGTGTCTCCCACTTTCTTTTCATTAGTAGTTGTTTTTACTTTTTTGTTGTATTCTTGTTAAGAATTAGATTGATAAAATAAAATTTTAGCAACTCTCCTTTACCTGCTCTTACTATCTATTATTACTTATACGTGTGCTTTTCCCCGCAAGTAAAAAAACAGGTTTTAATCGATCTTTGCTCTTGAAATTTAATTCAAAAGTTGAGATCAACTCTTGCATCACACCTATCATTGATATAATGCGTCTTTCAGATCCAGGGTGTGACAATTAATGATTTATTTATTGCAAATACTAGGAATCATGTCTCATTACTAGTCAAAGTTAAAACTTCATGATACCCTTGCCCTATAATACTCCTAAGGCATTATTCATCTAAAAAACAAACTTTAACACTATAAATCATGTACTCATTCAAACCTTATCACATAGCCATAATTATGTACTTATTTAACTATGTCCTAATATAAATCGTAAAATGCTATCTGCATAAATTGCAAACAAGACGTTCCTTAGAGACGGATGAGGCATCTATTACTCTACTCACATGCCGCACAAAGATATTGCAGCATGACCTAAATCTATCCATGGCAAGTTTCTTATATCAAAAGAACCAAAAAAAAGTATGATATCAATTCTACAAATCCATCAAATAGATGAATATGGAGCTACAAAATAGCAATAAATTTTAACACTCTAATTTCAATAGCACTCCATAACAAAGACATAAATCCAAAAAGTGATCCAGCACAAATATTGAGAATATAAGTAAAATTAAATTAAACGGTGGTAGAATCCTTTACAATTCTCCATTTCATATGGATGAAAGAAAAATAATGTAGTGATAGAACCAACCTCCTCCTTAAGAGTGCCCGAACTTAATATGTAAATACATTAATATTAAAAAGAGAATAAAACGAACTCCTTATTATAAGAATTAAGCCAAACGCTTTTTTCTTACTGCTTTTATTTTTTTCTTAAATATTGGCCTAAATCTAATTGGAGTTGCCTGGGTTATTAATAATTAATTGTTTATTTTGCAATAATATACAGAAAATTTTCAAGATTGCCAGTTGCCTGCCTAGGTCCAACCCTTAATATCTGTAAAAACAGAAATAAAAAAAATAGAAAAAAAAATTCAAGCAAATCCTCCTCAATCACTTAAAGGCATCTTAAAGGCATGAATTAAGAAAAACCAGCATCTGTCACATGTATTAGCTTACAAGTTAATAGCAAGTTCGTCATAATCATAACTGGCATCAATTGCTACGATAAATCATAAGTTTAAATAACATATCATATCAAATCTATAACAACATCCTCAATTAATAAGCTCAGATAAAGAATTACCATCTGCCCTTGCTTGGCAGCCTTCTTGATCTCAGTAATAAGCTTCTTCTCCTGATTTTGCAGCCCTTGTCTCTCCCTCTCGATCTCTCTGATAGACCTATCAAGCATTCTCTTGTTTTCCCGCAGCAACTCTGCATCAAGTAATCAATAAGAAAAACAGCAGAAAAAACACGCAAAAAAACCCGAAACCTAAAATTCCCTTGAGCAAACATGGTGTATATCTATAATAAGAAAGATAAACAATCAATAATAGAGGATCGATCACCCATATTACTACATATTCGATGGAAACAATCAAAGGAGTTTCTGAATTGGATTGCGAGAAATATTACCTGCGGGAGTTTTCTTCTTGCCAAAGAGAAAACTCATCTCTGCCGTATTCGATCGGAACACAACTGTCGCTGCAGCCTTCTCCTTCCTCTTGCTTCAGTTCTCGGATCTGCTGCGGATCGACTGCAATAAAAATTTGCGATGAGGATCCCTCAATTTGTGGTTTTTCTTTTTGGGGGATTTATATACATACCACCTAATACTTAAGAACGCGCATAGATCAATATCTACAAATTCAACGATTTTAAACTTCATTTAATCCAATAAATCGATAAAAAAAATAAAAATAATTATCCTTATATTTTAATTTCATATCAAATAAATTAAAAAAATAAAAATTTTTATTATATGCAACATTTGATTGAAGTAAATATATGATTCATGAATGTAAGGGTCTGTTTGGCGCCACTCTTTCTGCGTCGTGCGGTGGGAGGCCGCTATTTAGGATATTTTGGCGAGGGGTTCCACTCCGCAAATCTGAGGGAAATGTCGGTCGCGGGTGAAACCGCGACCCGCGGTATAACTCCTACTTTTTACTCCCTTACCCCTCCTCCATTTGATTCTGCCTTCGCCTGCTCCACGAGTGCAAGCTTCCTCTATCGGAAGACTTTTCTCGGTCTCGATGCCGAGTGCAACATTTGATTGAAGTAAATATATGATTCATGAATGTAAGGGTCCATTTGGCGCCACTCTTCCTGCGCCGTGCGGCGGGAGACCGCTATTTAGGATGTTTTGGCGCGGCGTTCCGCTCGGGACGGCCGCAAATCTAAGGGAAACGTCGGTCGCGGGTGAAACCCCGCGGCCCGCGGTAAAGCTCCTACTTTTTACCCCATTACCTCTCCTCCATTCGATCTTGCCTTCGCCTGCTCCACCGAGTGCGAGCTTCCTCTGCCGATCGGAAAACTTTTAAAGTTTATATACATACCATTCAATGTTTAAATATTCATGTATAGAATACTTAACTTTAAGAAGTATTTATGTGTTCTTAGACTATTACATATTCATATGTGATACATATGATTTCTAATACATTCTTACAATTGAAATCTTATCATATACATATAACATCTACATTTTAAAAGGAAACTACAGATTCTTTAATTGTTTGAGCATTTATTTATCTAACATCTGAATTTTAAAAGTAAAGCTACAGATCTTTTAACTCTTATGTGCTTACATGACTAACATTTTAAATCCTCTAGTATTTACATATCTAACACCTGGTTTGAATGTGAAGCCATTCATCTTTTAAATCATTAAATGAATGTGTATTTAAATGTATAGCAATGAAAATTTACTGAATAGTTTTTTTTTTTTTTGTAATTTGGATGTATTTACATATATATATATATATATATATATGTACATATATATACGTATATACATATATATACGTATATACATATATATATGTATATACGTATATATATATATATATACACGTATACATATATATATGTATATATTTTGAAAAAACAGTAGATGTGATGCCATTTGTTTCAAATTTCCTATGTTATTACTTATTGTGCTTACAATCTTACCTGTCAGTAGAAGTATGCTAGATGACTTGATGGAGTAGAGTGTTTTTTTCGTGCTCTAATAGCATAAAGCAAAGGCTGCTCTCCAGTAGAAAGGAATTTTCTTTTAAAAGTCTATTAATCCATCTGTTTTTTTTTTTTGGTATTTTTAGTAAGTGAAGAATGAATTTAGGAGAAATAATGCTTTTTCTATCATATTTTTTTGAAAAACTTGGAGAATAAATAGTGGATTCTTTTTTCTAGTGTTTTGGCTTTTGTCTTCTTCCTGTGGGTGGACAGTCCGTCGGATTCCACTGCAGGCAGCGATTGGGATTTGTTCTGTTTTGAAATGAATTTTTTGCTTCTGAAGTATCAAATATGTAATTGTCACAGTTTTATTTTAAACAATTTTACTAAACAGAGGCAGAATTGTCATTTTTTCCACAAACAGTTGTCCCGCAGCTGTTTTCACACAGCTGCAACAAATAGACAACCAGCTTCTCTGCAGTAGTTTCTTGGGGCAGTGTAGCTGCAGTTGAAAAGCTGAGAAGCTGCAGCTACAGCTACGCCAAACAGAGCCTAAATCTGGTCATACAAAAAGCCTCCAGTTTGAGCCACATAAATTATTAAGTGTTTCATATATTACCTATATGTTTATTTTAGACATCAGGTATTATCAGTGTCTTACACAACTTAATCTTCTCTTTATGTGTGCATGAATCAGGCGTCGTTGAGCACTAAATTATTGCTACTGTATTGTTCTTTTATTTTAATAAATAAAATTATCACAATTCATCTAATCAAATAAATATTTAATGAAATTGTCTCTAAAATTATGAAGATTTTATATTCATATAAGAGAAATATTTCAAAAATTATTTTTTTCCAAAAATCAAACACTACACTAAAATTCAACTCAGTATGTCAAACTTCTTCAAAGATTGATAGAGAAATATGGATGGAAAATTGATAATATTTATGTTTTTTAATTGGGAAGATTTACATAAGCACCCCTCAACTCTTTTGTATTTGCATGTCTAATAATATATAAACTTCAATTTGTACATATTTGTCATCTTATCTGTGCACGCAAAAATGTATTTCCCTTTTCAAAAATTAAAACAATAATATTTTTTATGTGATATGAAAGGTTTAAATGATACAAGTATAGAAAGTAAAATTTAGATGTTACATATATAAATACACAAAAATTGGGCGGTATGCATGTAAATGAGCCTTCTACTCTTTTCAATTATTTTATTTTTAAGCCATTAAATGCAAAAAAAAAAAAAAAAAAAAGGGGGACGTGGGTGTGGTCAGCCAGCCAAAAATGGAATAACATAATAGTGATGGTCCAAACTAGTGAGGGCACATGCACTTTGATGTCCCCATCATCCTAACCCAACCCATGAAACTAACTAATCACTTGTTAAAGCATTCAAATTTCTAAAATAATGAAAGGATATCATTATTTTCCTCTCATGCACATCCACTGTCATGTGGACCACATCATGCCAAAAATGGACAACATGGATTTCCAATTTCCTTTCTTGATATATATATATATATATATATATATCTATATATATCCGAGCCTCAGCCATCCCTCATATCCAAAAAATTCGCCATCCCTCATACCCAAAAAATTCGAGTATCACGCCCTATATTGGGGGGAATTAAACTCCAGACCAAATGAGACTTACAATTGACAAGCAGATGCCCTATATATATATATATA